GCACCTAAAGGTTTATTAAATCATACGCGTCTCAACTACGGCGTTAAAACGGCACAGAGTCTATTTCAGCAACTGATGGACACTATGCTCACAAATGTCCCGGGGACCGTTGCCTACTTGGACGAAATCTTGGTCGTTGGTCGAACAGACGAGAAACTTTTCCAGAGGTTTGATAAGGTCATGGAAAACCTCAGTGATTACGGCTCCAAAATAAACATGGAAAAAAGTAAATTTTTGCGGAAGGAACTTCACCATCTCGGATGTGTAGCAAACGAAACCGGAAAAGCCCCAGACTCCGACAGAATACTTGCACTTCAGAAAATACGAACTCCACAGAACGTAAAGGAATTACAATCCTTTATGGGATTTTCAGTTACTAAGACCCTTTTATTGAGGGACTTCATAGCTTGAAAGGAGTTCTAAATTAACTTTTGTGTAGGGATGGTCCACTTATCTGGTTGGAGGAATGCCAAGAAGCTTTCATGACAATCAACACTAGGATTAATCATTCGACAATGTTCTCCCATTTCGAGTTGAAAAATGAAACTGTCGTCCAAGCCGATGCCTCTGACTATGGACTAGACGCCGTCTTACTCCAAAACAATAGGGTTGAAAAATGCAGCCGTTAATGCATGCGGCGAGATCACTAACGACAGCAGAAAACAAATTACAGCTAGATAGCAAAGGAGACCCTGGCTATAATTTTTGCTGTTCGACGATTTCCCCAGTTTAGATACGGCTGACATTTCACCTTACACACGGACCACTAGCCTTTGAAGTTTCTTCTGGGAACGAACACTGGCATACCACAGAATATTGCGAAACCTATACAGGGATGGGCAATCATCCTTTTTAATTACAACTTCAATATTCAGTATACACCCACACAAAAATTTGGAGCCCCAGACGCGCTGTCAAGGTTAAGGGAAGATACGGAAAGTCAAGAGGAAATAGCAGTAGCACAAACCCTTGTCCAAGATGACGAAGAAATTAGGGAAGCTATCAGACAGGTTCCCATAACAGCAAAACAAATCAGAGCTGCAACAGCGGATGACCCAATATTACGTCAAGTAAAGGAATTTATGCTTCCTGGATGGCCTGAGGAAGAAAAAATCCACTTACCTGTGAGGGCTTTTAAAAATCGAAAGGATCAATTGTATATCATACAAGACTGCACAATGTGCGATGGCCGCGTTATTGTGTCGGCAAAGTATAGGGCACACGTATTGCAGGAGCTGCATGCTGGACATACGGGTATTACGCGGATGAAACAGTTGGCAAGGGCGTATGATTACTGACCCGGAATTGATGAAAACATCGAAACCGAGAAGAAGAAGAAGAAGAAGAAGAAGAAGAAGAAGAAAAAGAAGAAGAAGA